AAAGAATTCAAAACAAATTCAACGAATACGTACGAAACAGCACAAGAATTACTGCAATCGAATGTAAGAACAAAATGAATGAGAACCTTCTCAGCTTCTGGTATGAAACGCACTCCTCTGTCGTTGATGCGTTGTCTTTGTGGCAGTGACTGCTGATACGTGCCACTGTCGTTCTCATCTCCACACACACTGCTCTGAAGCAATACTTCTTTAGTGCTTTTGCTTGACATATAACAACACTTCACTTAAATGCAATAATACAAACATCATCATTGTCCGGCACAATACCATCATCCAAATCTTCACTCGAAATTTGCACTGTTGACGTCAAGTCTATGTCGACAGTTGACTCCTCCGCAGCCACATGAGGACTGCTAATCACAGCAGTATTATTGCACGAATCTGACGATAGCACGTCGAATCCTGATTGTTTATTATCTCTATTATTATTATTGTTAGTACCATTGTATTACTGTTATCAATATTAACAACATCTACTGTCATCTCCATTACGGCCATCTCTAACAGTCAAATGAAGAATGCTTTCGTCGAGAATGAAAATAGAACTAGAACAACTATTAAGCATACCACTACATATCATCAGTGGAACGAGGTGAATAATGCTCAATAGCAGATAAACACTTTTCCTGATGACAATTAAATTGCAATCATAAGAATAGAGATTGATAATCTCAAAAATTTAGTTGGCAGTGTTGATTCCTCAAAATAACCAAATATGCTGATGATGACAGCAAGTGGTTTGCTACTACAACACTACAAGAATATGCACTATTGACAAGTAGAAAACATCGTTTCAAATGAACACTTCATTGCGAATGCACCTCCACTTTCTGATGTTGCTTCGCCTATGCTCACTGGAGTTGCTTCGACTGGTATCGAATTGTCATCGACAATTTTCGGCAGAATTTCGTCGCCTTTCGTTCCAACCGCTGTCACATCGGTTTCTGCTGAGATTGTGGCTGACAAATGCCTATCAGATTCTGTTTCTTTTGCATTTTCAGCAGAATCTGACAGTTTTTTGTGCTCTTCACTCGAAACGTTCAGCTCTTCTTTCGACTGCAACAATGCAAACATCAACGTAAGTTTGCTTCAATGCCACTATCACCGTTCATTTGCAGCGCATTCAATTCTCAGCAATACTGAATCCATACAATTTAACCACAGCTAATTATGTCACCAGAATCGAATCAACGTCATATCACTGAGTCATCCAATGATGAAACATTCACAACTTCGAATAAAGACTAATTGTAAGACAATGCGTAATCCTTAATCATCGAGTTCTTACGTGCTCATCCATTGCAGCTGCTGGTGGAGTGTCAGCATTCGGAACAATCTCATCAGTAGACGGTGCATGTGCTGCATCTTTCGTTGGCAGATTCTGCGTTGGTACTTTGCGACGCTTCCTTTTGCCTCCAATAACACCACTCCTTTTCACCTATTAAAGCAGTTGATCACCCACCCTCATTCAAAAGTATTACCTCATTCAAAGATTCTGTAGATTACAACAAGTACGCTCCTTGAAGATTCACAAGAATTTCCGTTTGAAAGCAAATAATTCGGAATAGAAAGTTTCTATGGAACGAAATCCGATAACTGATAAATCTTCCCTGATTAGCACACATACTGCTCAGATTCAGATCCTAGGATAGAGAGTGAACTATTCGAAAACATAAAACGTGTCAGAACACAAAATCACGAAATGTCATTGTTTCCAGTTTGCATTTACACACAAACGGAACGAACACTACCAAATAAAAGAGAACGAACTAGTTTTCTAATATACGGATGCCGTATATCCTCTTTGAATGACGGTAATCTGGTGAACAGAAGTTGAGTCATATCAGCTAGCGTTGATTCGGCAGCTCTCCTAAGCAGTTCACTTAAAGCACCTTCGAAGCATATACGGAAACAGCTTTGCATCATTTCACACACACTTTCGTTAGATAGCAAACGCCCGACTGGTGTTAGTAAGAGTGTTCGAAGAACCTGCAAATCCAGACTTTTGATGGCAGGCACACTTTCGAGATGGCAGACCAACTTTAATGTGATGATCATACGCAAAAAGGTTCATTCTATTGAGCATAAAACGACATCATAAGATGAAATACGATGGGAGAATAAAGTAACCTGCAATATTTTCAATAGAACAACTTCATCACTACTCGAATCAGAACTGCCAATGAATTTAGCGTGTGTTACAGCGTCTGCGATATTCTCCACTGCATTCGATGCTTTGATACTAAATTCTCAACATTGGAATATCATCGCTTCATAAAACAACGAATGCATTCACGTTGTTAAAGTTGAAATTTAAAATCGCACTTGAAATACGAAATTTACAATTATTATAAAAGAATTTTAGCGTAATGTTTCGGGCCAGTAATCATTTAAAAGGCTCCCTTCTAAATGATCATTGCGAACAAAATAAAAAATGATGAGTTGATTCAGCTCAGTGAACTAAATTAGAATGGAGCAATGCACAAATTGGAGCTAAAGCGAAAGCAAAGAAAACGTGATAACGATGATGGCTGATGAAATGGCAATAACAGTATCAGTCAAAATAACAACAGCAAATCTAACCTATTACTATCAATCAGTCCATAACTGAGAAACTTCGCCACCGAAGAAAGTGCCTGTGCGGTGACCGGTCCATTGGTTTGCTCGGATCGAATCACATCCAGAAAGGGACTCAGAAATGTATCTGGGTTCATGTCACACAAATCGTTCACCTACACAAATTGATATCTAATCAGCAATTTTGCATCAATAAAGATTCACAGCAAATACGACAATAGCTCCATCAATAATAATCATTATAAATATAAGCAACAAACAACTGCAGCAATACTCACCGAATTGAGTACATCGCGAAGGTCAGCAAAGTTCCTCAACAAGGGATCAGTTTCATCCAGTGATCCCAAGTTGACAGCCTGCTGATGGTGTGCCCAACCACGATGCGCCTTCTTCAATAACGCAGCAACAGAATTTGATTCACCTTGTACTATGTATAAACCATTTACCGCCATTGTTTCACGTTATTCCATACAATAAATATATTCGATTGAAAATAGAACCGAGAATCTAAAATAAAATCTACATCAGTGCTGCTGGGCAATAACACTCAGCGATAAGCTTCAACGAGAATATTCCGAGAGGAACACGTTTGAAGATATGAATGGCATTCGGAAGAATGAAATTAAATAATCATACAGATATCGCAAACAATGCAATGCAATTTCCACACATCTCGCTTCTCAACGATGAAACGATCGCAACAAAGTTTCACAAGAATCAATAAACTTACATTCACCTATCGAATCGAAACAGATACTGAATTTGCATCGATCAAAACGGAATATGAGCAAACAGAAACGATGGAAAAAATTAATACATTTATTCTTCGGAAGGAATCGAAATGACTTTGTTCAAACTGAACAACAATGCTCATATTATAATCCAAACAACATGTAAATACAATCGATACAGCACATACTCCTTTCCTGTACGAATCACAGTAACACACCGTTCTTCAAAGCATTCAGCCTGCCACTAAGAGAATGAATGTCATAAACTCGATCGAGTCCACATGATGGCATTATGTGGATTCGATCAAAACTAATATTCAAAATTCTTGTTTTCGGGTAATTTCGACCTCGAACATGCCACTGATTGTGAGCTGGTGTTTTCAAGATGGATAAGCATTCTCGATGAATCGTTTTTGCTCACTGTNTATCTGCAAAATTCTGTTGCAATTTTAGAACGAAATATTTTGACTGTTGTTTAGAACCTTTCGTTTTCATTTCCACAATTCTATAATTACCACTTCCATAACCCATAATTCCATAAATGGGATTATTTCCAGAGCCATCGAAAGGAAAAGATAAATAATCATTGTTGTCAGTTACATGCACTGATGAAAGATATTACAGAACAGCCCTAAATTCAAAAGAATTAACACTGAATACATCACTAGACCTGACTTTAATTGGCAAGTTAAGATTTTTTATCAGCATCATCTTCTCGTTGCCAAAACCAGTGCGATGATAACCATCCAGCCCTTTCGAAGGGCCAAATCCTAAACACCAGTCTAATTTGCACTAGACCTTCAGGAACCGGTCCAAAGTAACGTGAATCGGTTGATAGATATGTGTTATCACCCTCTAGATAGACATGTCCCTTAGGGATTCGGCCGGTTGGTAATACCTGACAATTATACACACGATCATACTCGATGTGAGTCATACGTTTACAAAGTAACTGCTCCGGTTGACTTGGTGACAGAACACCAACAATATCGCCCCTACGAATTGTTCGAAACAATACACTCAAACGCTCAGCTAACACCTGAAACGATTAGAAAAAACATTTCATTAAATTTCATCTTTGCAACAATTCTATGGCAAGAACAACTCTTTCTCTTACTCACGCGTTCAATTTTCACCAAATTCCAACCAAAACTGGCATCATAATGGAGAGACCTGAGTAAACCGGATTGTGCGAAGTGGTCAAACTCATAAAATGCACATACAAAATGCTATAAAAACACATGGGAATCAATTGAAAATAATGCAAAGAAACTTACCAAATCACCATCACGTATCGTTGGATGCATTGATGGTCCAGTGCACACCACTAACTCACCAACATGTTTACCAATCACATAGCATCCACTATAGGCGTAGATGAAACGCCTCAAGTTGCGCAGATTGAAAAATTTACCCAGTTTCAATTATCTGATAGCTGATAACGACGATCAGCTGATTCAATTCGAATACTTTCCAAGTAATTTGACTGATTGCTCAAAAGCACTGGTAGGATTTGGTAACAATGACGAGACGATGGCTTGTTCAAAGTCTAACTCTACACAGTCATCAACAGCAAACGTCTTCCTGAAACAATTCTGGTTAAAACCGTCCAAATAGCAATACAAAAAATAAATAGCACGGGAAAAGTTAATCAGCTTGAACAGCGCGCACCCGCTACTGGAATCGCCGATTGGCAATCTGATCAGCGGTAACAAACATCCGAAAAAACAACCGCAATGCAAAATCCTATGCACCACGTGGACAAAACATTCGTCAAACATTGTCTGACCGTAACTGACAACCCTTAAACCTCGTCACCTCGTTACCACACATCACCTCAACCCGTTAAGCTTCAATCAGGCTCACGTTTACTCCGAACCTCATGCGCTTACTTGTACTTGCAAAGATATACAATATCTCTGTTAACCGCTGGCCAACAGAAAGTTGACCAGCTGTCCGATAACAACACGAAAGCACATCAGGTGAGCGCTTTGGGCGGTGCTTAGAAAGACGTTCGTACGATGCAATGCAGTGAATGAAACTCGCCGAAGCATTTCATCGTTTTGGGACATGACTGATTTCAAGCGTCGGGAATGTGCGTGCTCACGATAAGTGGAGATAATCAGAGCACGATAATCCGGTGGTGCATTACATCTGCACTCAAGTTTAGGCTGACGCTTACACTGATACTGAAATGTGTGTGTTAAACAAGCAGACGCGTCTGTACTACCAGGCCGGGGCATCTATTAGGCAAACAGATGATTCTCCGATATTATTCTCACAATCAGTCTAGGCCTAAGTGCAAGTTTAATGCACGTAAAGTCATGCAGGTAAAACTGACGTATCAAAGAGATGGGCAATGAGAAATTCATCGAGCTGAATGCGCTTCATTCCGATTATATCATACTTCCGAATGTACATTTTCACCAACAAACATATTATTTTACCTCTTCGACTTCAACGGTTTCCACTTCAGCTAGCCTGGTATTGTGTTTTCTAAGTGCATGAATTTTGATTGCATAAGGTTTAGTAGTTTCAGTCCGAAGGCTTTTCTGTGAGTATCTAGCTGGTTATTTCAATGCAAGAGTCTAACTGCAACATCAATTGGTGTAAAGTTGCGATCAAATGAAAGACTGTTATCCACAAATGAGAATCTAATTCACCAGCGACATATTTCACAATGAACACTCTCAGGTGACTTTCGGGCCCGCCACATAAATGAACTAAGCATTCTTCTCTCAGCCATTCTCGAAATGCACTTACCACCGTTCCCTCAAGCACTGATCATGCGAAGTAGCGCGACTCATGTAACTCAACATTTCCACTCGGAGTTTATTAAACAGTTACAAACCACTGAATTCTGGCTACAACATGGCCAGAATCTTGCTCACTAATTATTTCTCTCAAACTACAGAGAATTNAGCATTCTTCTCTCAGCCATTCTCGAAATGCACTTACCGTTCCCTCAAGCACTGATCATGCGAAGTAGCGCAACTCATGTAACTCAACATTTCCACTCGGAGTTTATTACACAGTTACAAACCACTGAATTCTGGCTACAACATGGCCAGAATCTTGCTCACTAATTATTTCTCTCAGACTTTTCAATTCAAAATTTCAATCACTTCAGTATATACGGGCTGTAACTATTGAACATCAATCAACACTGTACATTCCAAACAGTATAACTCTCGTGAATTAACTTTTCCGGTCGAGGTTTATTAGGTTGTTGCAAGGTGCTCAATCCTGCCTACTAACTCTGGTTTACATCTCGTTCATGAATTTTCGCTCTCGTCTGAACAACACTTTCAATTATTCATTGAATTCCTCAAGCCAACTAGAAAATCTCGGCTATATCTTTATTGATGTCTATACTATACATCACATTTCATTCTCGTGCACCTCCGTCGCGAAATTTTAGATGAATTGCCCTGATTGGTTTTTNCCATCCATCTCTCAAGTAACCACCAAACGTACGGTGATGCGAACATGCCCCGCCTATTATGTGAACTTGATGAATGAAGTGTCATAAGTGATTGAATTCAGCTCACTGATACACTGTCGGATAGCTTCAAAGCAGAATAACAATAAGCATGTGACGTGGTAGTTTTGGTGTTGGCACACGTTGCGAAAAATTACGAGGTGATTGAATGAGGCGATCAGTCAGCGGTAGCACAGAGTAAGACGCAACTCTCATATAATGGTGCATTTTAGTATGTTCGACTTGAATCAGGCCTTACTAAATGTTCAGAGGCAGGCTTACTTTCATGTTCACACTCGGATTTTTGCTTAACTTCATAAGAGGACAAAAATACATCCAGTTGCGATCTTATCGTTATACCAATAAGTAAACTTCGTGTCTCCATCGATAACAATAAAAGCGTGGGCATGACATGGCTTCAAATAATAAATTATTTCTAAAGTAAAAGCCGGTATGTGTCAACAATATATTAACATATGCCTTTGTAAGAGATAAGATTCTTCGTTCTAATAGTTACCCAAGAAATCCTCATGTCATTGGGCAATGCTGAGGGCAAGAGAGTCTTGAACATCAAGAGTTAATGTGATCATATATTGGTAATCAGTGTGGGTATGACAGGGATTCAAAAAAAAGAAATATTTCTAAAGAAATGGGCATTATCCATCGGCAATATGCATGACTGAATTTTAAAAAAAAAGCTGAAATAAAAAATCATTCAGTTGTGTGGAATGTCTTCAGAAAGTCAACCACATCTAACACATACGCATCACATATAGACCGCAAATATGCGTTCTCGATAGCAAAGAGTATCATTTATCCCATGGTACCAGAAGAATGGTATCAATAATCATCAATGCATCACAATTCATCAATGCATACATTACTACAGTGGCATTAGGATCACCATCTTCAAACTAACTGTGTCTTCAGGTTTGCCCGGTAAAACGTTCGTTTTTTCGTAACATCGAATTCATGAAGTTCTCTAGTTTCAAGATTATCTACGTTGTCGGGCTATTTTGCCTACTCCAAGAAGCATTGATGATTTTCTGGAGCCGTCTCACGTATCTGAGCTGCTCAATACTATTTATTGTATGCATATTGATCAATTTACACAAAGAGTTAGCAATTTCAGGATCACTGTTTTCAATATAACGGTATTCTCAGGTTTGCATGGTAAAATTTCTTTTCCTCTCGGCCATCAGATTCTTCAGTTTCAGAAAGTATATATCTCATGTGACGATTTTGCCCACTGTTCGGATATTGTCGATCATTTCGATACATGTATGCTGGGATACTTTATATTATTTA